GCGCGTGGACCAGATGCCTGGTGCCGCCACCAGCGTTCTTAAAACTTCTTCACGCTGGTTTCCGTTCCCACAGTTACACGTTGATGCACACGTTACATGCTGACGCGCACGTTACGTGCTGACGCACATGTTGCACGTTAACACACTACACGTTAACGCACACGTCACACGTTAACACATTAACACACATGTCACATGTTAATGCACACGTAACGTGTTAAGGCGCGGTAACGGGGATGATGAGTCGTCTGGGGGAGAGTGGGTACAGGTGCGGTCCGTGGGAGGGGGAGCGGCTGACGGAGGGATTGGTGGGCGTGGTGATTCATTTGCATTTTGTCCTAGATGGAAAGGAAAGCCCCTGGGGAAGGGGCATCAAGAAGGAAAGCGATGTGATTAGAGCATTCTTTCTAAGGCGCAAGGGCAGTGGTGGGTCAGTGGTAGGATGCTCGCCTCGCGTGCAGGAGACCCAGGTTTGATTCCCAGCCAGTACACCTCATGCACAGCCACCATCCACCTGTCTGTCAGTGGAAGCTTTCGTGTTGCTAGGATGCTAAACAGGTTTCAGAGGAGCTTCCAGACTAAGACTGATTAGGAAGAAAGGCCTGGCAATCTACTTCTGAAAACCAGCCAGTGAAAACCCTGTGGATCACAACGGTCGGATCTGCAGCTGATCGTGGAGGCGGTGCAGGGCTAGGCAGTGTTCTGTTCTGTCGTGCACAGGGTCACCACGCCAGCTAACGATAACATCACCGACACTTAAGGGAGCACATTGTCCTCGGCAGAGCAGGTCAAGGTGGAAGCAGGGACACCAATCAGAAGACCAGTGCAGGCGTCTGGTCGGAGGTGGTGGTGGCCCGGACCAGAGTCACAGTGATGCAGTGACAGATGGAGCTGCATTCAGGATCTGATATGGAGGCTATTCCACGTGCTGCTCCTCTTTGCTTTGGCCGCTAGGAAACTCTGAAGACCCATGGTGTCCCTTGTAGGGACTGACCTACCCCTGGCTGGACCTGCTCCCGCCGGATTCCTTGGACACTCACTTCACTTTGTTGCATGCTCATGCCTAGTTTGCGCCGCAGGTCCTTTGTGGAACTGGGCAAGGTTTGAACAGAGCAGTGAGGCGCCCTTCATCCCCTTCATGCTAGGCTCTGCGGGTCTCTGGCTTCATCTTCCAGCCAGGCCGGAGGGCTGGGGGAGCCCTGGCCCGTTCTCTCCTTGTTGTGCCAGAAATGTCTCCAGGACAGCCGGCTCTCCCTCGGCCCCTCAGCATACACAGTTCTGCTCTCATCCGCAGCCGTGGGCGGAGGAAGGAGAGGCGAGGATAATCACATGGATTAAACTGCCTCTGGGAAGAGAAGGGATGAGGAGTGTGGGGCTGGCAGGGATGGTGGCGGAGGGCGTCTGTGGTCTGCTCACCCCTCACCCACCATTCTGGGGCCCCCCTGGGTGCCAGCTGCTGGGCGATGGGGTCACCGCTGAGAGCCAGGTGGAGACCTTCGTCATATCCTTGGTGGTTTGCCAAGTGAGCAGGGAGACGTCCTCGAGCAGGAAACCCCTGGGCTCGTCATGAATAGAGTGACCTTCTTCGTGGGGTTGCTTTATGGAGGGTCGACACGGCACCTGGCACAGTTAACACTCGATTAACGATCACTGGAGAGTTGGGCACAAATGGGGAGTGGCTGCTGGCGGACACAGGGTTTTCGGGGGATGACGGAAATGTTCTAAAGTTGATTGTGGTGATGGTTACACAACTCTGTGAATATACTAAAAACCACTGAATTGTATATAGGTAACAGGTAGTCCCCAACCTGTGAATTGTAAGTTGAATGCCTCATTTTTTTTTTTTTTTTTTAGTTTTCATTATTATTGTCTTTTACTATCAGTATCTTTATAAATCCAATTTTTATTTGTCTTTGGGGGTTGCAAACATTACATACAAGTTTACAGATATGTTTTCACACACCTGTACATACATACATACATATTACCGATGATAAGATGTGTTAAAAAAGACATCGTGAGTGTGGTTTGTCCTAACTTGAATACGTTGTAAGTCGGGGACTCCCTATACTTTAGACAGATTAACGGTATGGCCTGTGAATTACATCGCAATAAAACTATCATAGCAGGGGTCCCTGGGTGGCCAGACGGTTAAGGGCTCGATTACTAGCTGAGAGGCTGGCGGTTCAAACCCATGCAGAGGTGCCTCAGAAGAAAGACCTGGCAATCTGCTTCCGAAAGGTCACAGCCTTGAAAATTCTATGGAACACAGCTCTACTCTGCACACGGGAGTCGGAATGACTTGACAGCAGCTATAACTACAACAAAGCTACTACAAACAAACCAAAAAAAAAAATCACGAAAGCGAAAAGGAGAGTGTCCGCACCCTCTGTTGACTCAGGAGGGTCCTGGTTTCCGCCTCTTGTCTTGGGGTCCCATCCATCTGTGTGCTGGATGATAAGTTGACACCGTCACCCTGGATACAGCTCAGGGACAGGATGGGGTCTCTGGAGACAGGCTGCTCGAGGTCATGCCCCGCCTGCAGCATCACTTTCTCTGTGACATTGGCGAAATGGCTCACTGCTCTGAGCCTCAGTTTGCTCACCTGTGAAATGGGTATTCTGATAGTCCCCACCTCCTAGCTTTGTCATGCGGGTAGAACTAGATGATGCCTTAGGATAGTGCCTGGCACAGAGCAAGCAGCGACTTTTACTGCATAATACTCATTATCTTATTTATAAAGTGAAAGCTTTTATCCTGAAGGGTGTTACCTAAGGCCCCCGACACTTGCGTGGTCAGTTGATCAGGATGGCAGTGGGGTCTAGAAGTAGAGAATGCTGTTACACGTGCTGTCACATGCTGTCAGCGAGGCATGTGCTGTGTGTGTGCTCCTGTCTCTAGACTGTATGTCACCCCGTGACTGGCCCCACTGAAGCTTCCTCTCCGCTTTGGGTATCGGGGGCGATGACTGTTTTCATTTACAGGTGGAAAAGCCAAGGCTCAGAGGGCCTGAGTGGACGGAGCCGTTCGGGAGGTGGAGAAGTGGCAAGGTCCTGCCTCGTAGGGTGTCACAGCTCGGGCACCAGCACACCTGGGGTCCCCTCCCGCTGACAGCTCTGCGGGCCCAGGTTCGGGATAGGCCATGAGGGGCCTCATTTCGGGGAGCAGGTGGCACAGGGGCTGCCTTGGCTGGGAAAGTGGGGCTGAGGACCCGTCACTCGGTCCACTGGTGCTGGCCCGTCACAGGCCCCTAGCCTCCGGCCCCTGGTGGCCCACTCCCTCTCCACAGCCCTGCTCCCTCGGCTTCGGCCTGCCCCTCTGGGGACTCTTGGGTCTGTATAAACTGGCAGGCTCCATGCCCTCCTCCAGGTGGTCGCAGAGTTGATCAACCCATCGAGTGGAACAGAACGCACGCTGATCGTGGGAGGTGGACCAGAGGCTGCAGCCTCTGGGTGGTGGGAGTGTGTGTGTGCATGCGTGTGTGTGTGTGTATGTGTGTTTAGGGAAGGGTTAGGGGGCTCCTTGCCGAGGTCTGGGCTCAGCTGCTGGCTACCGTGCTGGGGAACACCAGCAGGTCTGTGACCCCCACAAAAACGTCATCAGGAGGTAAAACCTGAGACACCCCCGCCTGGAGCAACGGCCCTTCCCTGTGCCGTGAGGATGGGGGGCCACGTGAGCCCCTTCTTTAGTCCCACCATAACCTTCCCCCACACTGACCGTCTGAGGTCCGCTCTGTGATGTGGCTGGCGGGGTGGGGTCCGGGGTGAGGGTGGGGTCCCGGCTGAGCTGGGGGAGACCGGAGTCCGTTTGGAATCTGGGATTTCTCATGCTTCTGCAACTTGGCCATCTTGTTAGCTGCGCGTCGTTTTCCATTTTAACTGACGTTCGTTCTCACAAAGCGATACGCGCTGTACGTTCTGAGCAGCCTGTGGTGCCCGGGGGCCCTCTCCCTCCCCACCCCACACAGCCAGCGTCACTGGGGTCTGTGGCCCCCTGGGCATTTTCCCGCATCTCCCAGCAGCAGCCTTCCCCCCACGTGGGTGGCATTGCTGTGTGACTTTGTACATCCCTTTCTCTCGACCTCGTTTTTCTTGGACAGTCCCCGCCTGCACACACAGGCCTGCTGCCCTCTGCCCCCGTGTGACGTGGGTCTCTGAGCCTAAGGGCAGCTGCCCAGCCAGGCCCGTTGACGGGCGTGCACTTGGCGTCCAGTCTTTTTATGGCAAACGGCACAGCCAGAACCACCTCCTGCGTACACCTGTGTACACCTCACGGCGCTTCCAAAAGTGGCTGTGTTTCGTGAACATGGAAGAGGTCAAAAGGAGGGCTGCTTCCATCTGTCTGTTCCCAAACTTGCTCATCCCGCTGCGTTTCCCTGCGGAGTTCCTACAGGGTGGCCCTGGGCCAGGGGCTGAGGCTGCACCCGGACACAGGCCTGCCCCCGCCTTCACCAAGCTGAGCAGGAGGGGCAGGCCCAGCAGACTCCTGCTGCCCACAGCATCAGCACAAGTAGCTTCGCGAGCAAGCATAAGGCCTGGCACTGCGCCTGGTCTGGGCGAGGAGGAGGGGAAGACTTCCTGGGGGAGGTAGCATGGGGCTGATTGGCTGATGTTTACTAGACAAAATGGAGGCTGGGTAGGAGAGCAGCCCCGGCTGCTTATAGCATGTGCAAAGGCCCTGAGGTGGGAAGGGCTTGCTAGTGGGCTTAGGTGAGTGTTGAGTGAGGGCTGACAACAGCCTGTAAAACGGGTTCCTAAGGGGTAGGGTCTCCTGGTGGGGGGAAAGGTCTCTGTGGGAGGGAAGCTGGGCCCACCAGCCCTGAGCCGACGCGCCGCCCGTCACACCCTAGCTGGGAGGGGCCCCAGGGGGCCTCCTTGCTCTGCAGCCCGGGTATTTGTGCCTCAGGCTTTGGAGAAGCCTCTGGCCCCTGGGGGTGAGGGGCATCACGTGGGGAGTCTGGGGCTCACTGGTCGCTGAGGCCCGCTTTGTTTCACTTCCAGATGAGATGGACCAAACGCCCCCAGTGCGCTCCGAGTGCCTGACCTCAGGGGTCCGGACGCCCCCTGCAAGGAGGAACAGCAAGCTGGCCACCCTGGGCAGGATCTTCAAGCCCTGGAAGTGGAGAAAAAAGAACGAGAAGCGGAAGCAGACAACATCAGGTGGGCCCTGGGCGGGTGGGCCGGCTGTGAGGGGCCCCGTGTCGGGGTGCTGCTGGGGCTGTGTCGTGTCCCCCCACACCCACAGCAGGAGGGCAGACTGCCCTGAGGTCTCCAGCGAGCAGGAGCTGCCCACCTCCCTGCAGGCCACCTCCCTCCACTGGCCCCTCTGGGCCCCACCTGGCCACCGCAAAGGCTGGGGTAGGTCAGCACCAGGCACCCTGTCACACTCGTGGCGCGGTGGGGGGAGCGCAGACCTTGACAGCCACACAGTCACCTGGGGACCCCTTAAAAACCCGACTCCGGGCAGGTGGGTGGGGCCGAGACACTGGAGTTTACAAGCCCTCACTGATCTCTCTGAGCAGCCCTGACCAGGCCCACGACCCTCTGCAGGGTCCTTGGCCACCTGGGACGGCCTGAGGGGCCTTGGCCAAATGGACCTGGGCCTGCCCCAGAGATCGGGGTAGCTGGTCTGGGGTCTGGATCAGGGCGTGGGTCCACCCCCAGAGATCAGGGTAGCTGGTATGGGCTAGTGTCTAGGTTGGGGCCTGGTCTCACTCCCAGAGATCTGGGTTAGCTGGTCTAGGGTCTGAATCAGGGCCTAGGTCTGCTCACAGAGTTGCTGGTCTGGATCAGGGCCTGGGTCCACCCCCAGAGATCCAGGGTAGCTGGTCTGGGCTAGTGTGTAGTTTGGGGCCTGGGGCCTGCCCGGAGATTGGGGTCGCTGGTCTGGGCTCTGAATCAGGGCCTGGATCTGCTCACAGAGATCGGGGTAGCTGGTCTGGGCTAGCGTCTAGGTTGGGGCCTGGGTCCTCCCCAGAGATCGAGGTAGCTGGTCTGCTGTGGGATCTGGGTCAGGGTCTGGGCCCTGCTGTGTCTGAGCGCCCCCGAGGTGGTCTAGGAGCTTGCACCTTTGGTGTGACCGTGACTCGTTGAGATTTTATTGTCACTGGCAGATGGGGCATCCCAGGCTAGGCTTGGTTTCCCCAAAACCCGGCCACTCAGTGTCCCCTAGTTCTGGGTTACTCCACGCACCCCACTTGTAGATACCTGCCGCTGTCCACGCCCCCCCCCCCCGCCCCCAGAACAGGTGTGGGCAGAGGCCACACCTGTCTGGTCCCCAGCACCTAGCCCAGTGCCTGACACACATTAGGTGCTTGATAAATGCTTTCTTAGCTTAACTGAGTAACTGTGGGATCATTGCCTGCGTGTTGCCCAGCTCCCCTCCGGGTCCCACGCTCCGTGGAGGTGGGGGTGGGGTTGGTTTAGTTCTCTGGGGAGTCCCAGCCCCTGGCCCACGTTGGCTCATGGGAGGAGTTCACTGACTAGTTTTGAATCCACTGAATGATGTCATGGTCATTACCTGCTGTCGTCTGCCTCTCCCTAGCACTAGACTTGAAGTTCCAGGAGGCAAGACTGGTGCTGGGTTGTTCTTGTGACCTTGGTCCACACAGCACCTGCACACACACAACTCAGGGCCTCTTGCCGCCCAGACTCCACGGCAGGCGCTGTGTCTGCATCTCCCAAGACAGGCTCTGAGTGGTTACTTAGTTTTGTGTTTGGAAATTGCAGTTTAGACAAATGATGTTTTCTGGAAAGTTAGAGAAAAAAGGTCATTGTAGACACAGCAGGCCTGAGCCCCAGCCTGTGACGGGGGGGTGGGGGGGTGGAGAGGGGGATGCAGGGAGAATGTGGTGGGGGTGGGTGAGTTGCCAGAGCTCGTTTTGTGCTTGGATGTTGTTGTTGTTATTGGGCTCCATGGAGTCGATTCCAACTCATAGCGACTCCGTAGGACAGAGTAGAACTGCCCCGTGGGGTTTCCTAGCCATAATCTTTATGGGAGCAGATCGCCAGGTCTTTCTCCAGCAGAGCTACTGGTGGGTTCGATCCACCAACCTTTAGGTGAGCAGCTGGGTGCCTAACGATGGTGCCACCAGGCCTCACTTTTGTGCTTGGATAGGGAGTGGAGAGGAGATTTTTGGAAAGAGGAATTGACAGGCTTTCACAGGTTGAGTTAGGGGAGGCTCCTGGCCTCTTCCCCTCCTGCCCATATGGTGAATTCCTGAGCCACAACCTGGGATTTCTGGGGGGAGGGTCTGCAGTGGGCAGCCTTCACAGAGGACCTGGGCCTGCACATGGAGGGAAGGGAACAGCCCGCTGGGGTGTGTTAGCAGATGATCATCCACAGAAAAGTGGCCTGGGCATTGGGGCAGAGCAAGGATGGTTTCTTGGCTGGTAAATGAGGCGCTTTGGTGGAGGGTGGGATGGGCAGTGGGAACTAGCTTAGAGCGGGGCCTTGCTTTTCAGATAAATCACTGAAGGTGCTTTTCTCTCACTGCGTTTTGTGTGCGATTCTGAACAGAGGTCAGATTGTTGAACGCACAGTCCCCGCCCCCTCCCGTGGGCCAGGCCCCCTGCCCCGTGGTCACCTGCTACCCCCCTGCTCCTCTGTGTAACCGTGAGACTGACGTTGGCTCGCTGTGGGCCCCGTGGCCGTGACTCCCCTGGTGTGTGTGTGTGTGCGCGCGTGTGTGTAGCCTTGGCGAAGGTGACTCCCCCGGTGTCTGTGTGTGTGCGCGGCCTTGGAGAAGGTGACTCCCCTGGTGTATGTCTGTGTGTGTGTGTGTGCGTGTGTGTGTGCGGCCTTGGCGAAGGTGACTCCCCTGGTGTCTGTGTGTGTGTGCGGCCTTGGCGAAGGTGACTCCCCTGGTGTCTGTGTGTGTGTGCGGCCTTGGTGAAGGTGACTCCCCTGGTGTGTGTGTGTGTGTGTGCGGCCTTGGAGAAGGTGACTCCCCTGGTGTGTGTGTGTGTGTGTGTGTGCGGCCTTGGGGAAGGCGACTCCCCTGGTGTGTGTGTGTGTGCGGCCTTGGCGAAGGTGACTCCCCTGGGGTGTGTGTGTGTGTGTGTGTGCGGCCTTGGAGAAGGTGACTCCCCTGGTGTGTGTGTGTGTGTGTGTGTGTGCGGCCTTGGGGAAGGTGACTCCCCTGGTGTGTGTGTGTGTGTGTGTGTGTGTGCGCGCGCGCGTGTGCGGCCTTGGCGAAGGTGACTCCCCTGGTGTGTGTGTGTTGTGCAGCCTTGGAGAAGAAGATGACCGGCAGGCAAGGTCGCGAGGAACTCATCAAGAAGGAGCTGCTGGAGATGATGGAGCAGGGTAAGTGGATCGTCCCAGAGGGTCAGAACTGCCCACGTGCACCCGGAAGCCCGCTAGGGGACGGAGTGGACGTCAGAGGAGCCCCACCTTCCAGAGATAGGACTTGACCATAAATGGTGCCCTGTAAGGTTGGAGAAGTCCCCAGAGTCAAGGACCCATCGGCTCAGCCCCTGGGGCATCTGAGAACCCGTGAGTGAGTTTAAGGGCACATCCCAGTGTGGGGCTGAGCTGACAGCAGCCATCCTCCCTGGTGAATGTCTAATTGCTTCTGGTGGAGCTGGGTATGGATTCCTGCAAAGTGGTAGCATTGGGTGTTTTTTTTTTTTTTTTCATTTTTCAATTGTTTTCCTGTTTACATTTTAATCCTTGATTTGGGCGAATGATTATTACTTCTGTCACTGCCCTGCGGCTCCCCTTTGTGAAGCATTCATTGTGCGCCACGAGCTGCGCTGAGCGTGTCCCACCCCCACCTCTTGGCCTCACTGCGACCTGCAGAGCCAGCTCGGCTCCTACCCCTCACTTTGCCGATGGCGGATTGAAGGCTCTGGGAGGTGCCTGCCCCTGGTCATGGGAGGTGATGGCAGAGGCGACCTTCAGACCTGGTCTCTCGGTCTCCACCGTGGTGTCTGCGTTTCTGAGACTCGCTGGTATCGTCACTAGAACAATTGATTCGACAGAACTCTTGTTCTGCAAGCCGCCTGCTTTCCGTGATCGGTGTCCCACAGGCGAGGGGCCCGGGACTTGGGTTGTGACCTGGACCCTTCGTGAATTCTAGTGCTCAGAGATTCCAAATACTGGGGGGCTTGGGGGGGGGGGTTGCGGTCACCAGAGCCTCGCTGCCCTGTCAGCATCTCTCTGGAGTTGGACGAAGCCCCCACCTTCACGTGTAAGGAATCCAGCTTTCCGGAGCCAGTTCCCAAAGGTTGTGTGAACACATTGAATTCCTCTCCCCTCTTCAGATTTAACACATCACAGTGTCTTTGTAATCTGGCTCTAAGGACCGGGGGTTAGGAAGGTGCTCAGGGCATGAATGGATCCCAATCCTATGAAACGCCATGACCCTGGCAGGCCTGGCAGCCTCACAGCCCAGCTGTGGCCCAAACCTGCCATCATCACTTCTGTTCTTCGGATTCCGAGAGTTCAGCGTTTTGTGATGCTGTCGTTCAGCTGCTGACCAAAAGGTCGGCAGTTCGAATCCACCAGCCACTCCTTGGAAACCTTATGGGGCAGCTCTACTCTGTCCTGTAGGGTCGCTATGAGTCAGAATCGCCTCGATGGCAACAGGTGATAGTCAGGACAAGCCTATGTGGAGAATGGCTTCGTGCTCCTAATAATACTTGGCCTGTGAGAGGCGGCTCGCCAGCAGGTCCTGTGACGTCCTAGCACGTAGCGCGCAGTTCCCGCTCTCAGATCCGGAGGAAGGTCTTTGCCGAGTTAGAAGTCAGCCCTGTTTTAATTTGGCTGGAAGGAAAAAACCCCAAAGTCTGGCATTCTGGGTATGTTGCCAACAAGGAGTGCTCCCGATCTTCTTCTTGTTTGGGTGCCGTCGAGTCGGACTTCTGACGACCCCGTGTGACAGAGAACTGCCCCAGAGGGTTTCCTTGGCTGCAATCTGTACAGGAGGATCACCAGGTCGTTCTCCCACAGAGCCGCTGACCTTTAGGTTTGAAGCTGAGCGCTTAACCGTCGCACCACCAGGGCTCCTTAGGGAGGGGGAGAGGAGAATACAGTCAGTGTAAGGCCCATCTGTCACCTGTCCTAAGAAACAGTATTCTGATGAAGAAAGAATAAAGACGTCGATTTGATACCTACCAAAAACAAAGCAGTGAGTTGAAAAATCAAAGGGAAGATGTCTAGGAGAAGTGCGGGTGGGCATTCTTAAACTCTGAAGTTTTGAAAAAGGATGTTGTCAGATGGCCTTAGAACGGAGGCCCAGAACTGATGCTTGGAGCCGAGAAGGTGACAGGATCGCGGTTCTGATGCCGAGGGCCCTCCTCTCGGGCGCCCTGGTATTTACGGAGATGTCACACACTTGCTGTCTTACAAGATTACGCCAGATCAGGGGTCGGCTAGCTTTGTCTGTGATGGGTCACAGAGTTAATATTCTCGGCTCTGCAGGCCACATGGTCCCTGTTATGAAGACTCGGCTCTGCCATTACACTGCCAAAGCAGCCACAGTTTGCAAACGCGCGAGCGTGGCTGTGTGCCCATGAAGTGTTTTCTGTGGACGCTTGAATGTGAGCTGCACATACTTTTAAGTGTTATTAGCTATCATACTCCTTTGGACATTTTTCAGCCACTGGAAAACGTGGAAACCAGTTGTAGCTCGTAGGGAAGGCCTGACTTGGCCCGCGGGCCAACGTTTGCCAATCCCTGCTTTAGCTCGCTTCTTCCCACATGCTGAGCGATGGTGTTCCAGGAACTAGAGTGCCTGGGAACACAGTCTTTATCCTCCAGAGCTCAAAATGCACATGCCCGGGGGTTCCCCTAACTCTTACCGTCATCTACCAAGTGCCAGGCTCTGCGTGAAACGCAGAGGGCGCAGGTGAGCAGAACTCAGTGGTCCAGGAGGGTACAGACATTGATGATCCCACAAATACAGATCAACTGATGACTGTGTGTGGAGAAGGAAAGGCTCCGAGCACCCTAAGAACATGCCACGGGGCCTGACCTGGCCAGGGGCTCAGGGAAAGGCTGTTTGAGCGGCCAGGAAGAAAACAGGCTGGTCCTCAGAGTTTGCTGCACATTAGAATCACCGGGGCGGTGAGGGGACTTAAAAAAAGAAATCCATGCCGGCACAGTTAAATCAGACGCTCAGGGGCTGGGATCCAGCAGGCTTCAATAGTCCATAAACGCCCTCCCCAGGGTGATTCCAACCTTGGTGCAGCCAGGGGGGAGGAGCATTCCAGTCTGAGGGAGTGGCTTGGGCAAAGGCCCCGTGGTGCATGGGTACAAGGAAGGAACCCAGAGAATGATCCTGTGGTGGGAGGGCAGTTAGGAAGGAGGGACGGGGAGGGAGATGGGGCTTGGGTCCGCAGGGGCCTTAAGTGCTACCTAACCCTCCTGTCAGCATGTCCTGTGATGTGGACAAAGTCAGGAAAACTCTAGACCTTGCTAAGAGCAGGCTGGGGTGATGGGAGCATCCCAGCTGCTGGGAGAGCTTGGGGCTTGGTTAACCCTGACCCCGACCCTGACCCTAACCAGGCAGGGTGAGTGGGCCGCGTGGATCTGCCAGGACCTTGTCTGCAGCCAAGGGCAACCTCCCAAGAGGCCTTGCGGAGGGGGGTGGGGCACACATCAGAAACTGTGGCCGCCTACGGGGAGGGGACCAGGGCTGGGTGGGGGCTTTTCACGGTGACTCTGTGTACTGCGTGGATCGTTTACCCTGTGTGTGTGTGTCCTATACAAACAGCAACAACAGGATATATGACAGGTTTGCAAAGCCTCCTGGGTTAGTACTTCCCTTGCAACGTTGTTTCCACAGTTTACTTGCTAAGAAAATGCTTCAGCTCCCAGTGGGGCAGAGACGAGCTGAAGGCAGCCCCTGTCTGTTGTAACTCGTCCTGGCCTGGGAACTGCAGGTCCTCTGGGGCCGGTGGGAATAGCCACCCCTGGGTGCCTGGCCGCCCAGCCTGGGAGGGCTACGCCTGAGAACTGGTGCGCCAGGTGGGGCCGCAGGCTCCTCCTCTTTCCAAGGCCTGTCTGGTTGGTGGTGTGAGGATCCCAGGGAGGATGGGGATTTTCCTGGGTTTGGATTAAGGAAGCAAGGAATCCATCCTCAGCGCCACCTTCTGCTCCCAGGGAGGTGGGCTGTCCCTGAGGCAGGGGCGCCCCCCTGTGGTTGGCCGCCCTCACTGCGCCTGTGGCGGGATGAGGTGTCTGGGAGGCTGAGGTGTGTGATGGTGATGGGTCCAGAAGAGGCTGTACCTCAGATTCTTCCAGGACTGCCCCCAGGAACTCACACCTGAGCTTTCTGGGCCAGGATGAGCCCCAGGAGTGCCTCCTGCCTGCCTGTGACACTGCACCTAGCACGCATGCATGCACACACACACGCAGACACACAGACACACACACACACGCACACACACAGACACACACTCACTCACACGCACACACACAGACACACACTCACACACACTCACTCACTCACACACACACACACACACGCAGAGTCCAGTGGCCTCAGGGTTTGCTCACAGACCAGTCAGGGCGCACGAAATGGCGTCCTGGCCTCCAGACAGGGCTTGCAGAAGAGCGCCCACAACCCCCTGGGCGGTGAGCCTGTGTCCAGGGCCTGAGTTTGCCCTGCTGGGGGGGAGGGGCATTTATGAACCACTTTATCCCCCCTGCCCCCTCCCGTGACTCTTCAGCTGTGGGACCCACCCAGGACTTGCCCGCGTGTCCCTGACTTCTTGCTGTCTCTGGCATGACTGGTCCTGCACCCGGCCCTCCGCCCAGTCCCTGGCTCGGAATGAAGTGAATCATGAATGGAGCCTGTGGCTTCCTCTGTGCCAGAGGCAGTTTGAGTTTCTCAATGACTGTTCCGTCTTCCTGTCTGCGTTGATGGGGTATTTTCTTTAATAATTTAAGGGATTTCATGCTTCATCATTGGCTGCGTATAAAAAGCATTATTACCCCGGTGCTGTGCTCAGTGACCTGAGAGACACGAGGCGTGGGTTCCTCGGGGAAATTGGACAGCGGCCAATTGCGTCTGTGCGGTAGAAACGGGGTGGGGTGTGCCTGTGTGCACACACATGCATGTATTCACACGTGGCTATGCATGTATAAGTGTGTACACGTGTGAATGTGGATGTTGTGCCTGTGTGTGTGCTATATATACACGTGTGTGCACTGCACGTGGGTGTGTGCTGTGTGTAGACATGTAAGCACACACGTGTGTGGATTGTGTGCATATATGCACGTGTGTATGGGTGTGTGGCTGTGCATGGATGTGTATACGTGTATGCATGTGTGCCCTCGTGTGTGCTGTGGGAATGTGTGCGTGCACATGTGTGCACGTGGGTGGATGTATGCATGTACATGCACATATATGTACTGTGTATGCATGTGTGTGTGTGCACACGAGTGTATGCTGTATGTGTAGGCATTGTGTGTGCACGCGTGCATGTTTGTGTGCACGTGTGTGTGTGGCGCGCTCCCCCTCACCGTGGCTGCTCAGCACCATCACAGGCTCGCTGTGGTCCCCTCTCCCTTTCTTCCCTCTGAAGCAGAAGGGCTCTGACCACGCGCAGGCAGCTGCCCGGGGGGCGTGGTGTGCACAGTGAGAGGAGCAGGGACAGCTGCCCACTGCCCCCCTCCCCAATCTGCGTTTCTTAGCAACAGCTCTGCCACCAGGGCTATTTTGGGAATGGGAACTTCTCACTGAGCATGCTCCTGAGCCGGAGTGCTGAGCACAGCCCAGAAAAGTCCTGCCGGCGGCTGAGCTGGGAAGGCGGGGGAGGACTCGGGGACGGAGTGCTGGGGGTCTGCTAGCCCGCTGATGGCTGGAGACCTTGTTTTGGCCTTCCCGGCTCAGGCTCAGAACCTTTTATTGCTGTGGTCGATGACGATGGTGATGTAGGACATGTCACTATTGTTAACAAAGATGATCATCGCCAGCAGCAGATGACCAGCCCTTTCTAAGATTCCGTGCGCACCCTGTAAGAGGCAGACAGCCTTTCTGAGCCAAAGGGTCGTGACACTCAAGTGAGAGTGTGTTTGGGACGTGCGGGTCCCATGTCCCCACAGAGCAGTGCGGAAATGGTATCGGCCATCATCATCTTTCCGTCCCCCAAGGGCCGTGAGCTTGTAGCAGGGACTGTCGCGGTTGTGTGTGAAGTGTGAGTGAGTGAGTCATGAGAGAGGTGCCCAGAAGCCCCACAACTGGTGTGTATAAAGAGCATTGTTACCCCGGTGCTGTGCTCAGTGACCTGAGAGACACGAGGCGTGCGTTCCTTGGGGGAATTGGACGAGACAACCAAGTCTGTCTTGTGTCTGTGTGGTAGAGATGTGGGGGTGGGATATGTCTGTGTGCAGATGCTGTATGCACATGAGTATGCTTGCACGTGCGTGCACATGTGTGCCTGTATGCACACGTACACGTGTGTAGTGCATTTTGCTGCTGTGTGTGTATGTACATGCACATGTGTGAGTGTGTGGCCGTGCATGTGTGTTATGTATATGCGTGCGTGTGTGTTATACATGCGCGTGCGCGTGTTACGTACACATATGCACGTGTGGGTCTGCTGTGTGACATCAAGTTTTGTCGACACAGCGAGTTTTCTTGGCTGTATCTGGCTCCTTGCCAAACTATACCCATAAATCACATGTGCCCCAGGATGTGTTTTTACACGCCCATGAGGTAAGAATGGTTTTCTTACACTTTTACACATTTTTTCAGTTTAAAAGAAAATCAGAAATCAAAGAATACACAACGCACCTCACATGGTTCGTGGCCCCCAAGCCTCCAGTATTTACCGTCTGGTCCTTCGCAGGGAAGGGTGCCAGCCCCTGGCCTAGACCCTCTGGCAGGTGTGTGTGTGCACGTGTGTGTGAGCGAATTTGTGTATGTGTGTATGCATGCATTGTACATACATGTGTGTGTGCCTGTATATACATGCGTGTGTGTGACTGCATGCGTGTGTGTGAGTGCATGGGGGTGGGTGTGTACGCATGCGTGTGTGTGCATGTGAGTGTGTGTATGTGTGTGTATGCATGAGTGTGTGTGTGCATGTGGTGTGGGTGTATGTGCGCTGCATAGATGAGATCCTCCAAGCCCTAATCTTCCAGACTCCAGCCTGGCTGGCCCCTCTGTCTGTCTCCTGAGGGCGGTAGAGGAACAGACAAACCAGTAATTACAAACTCTTAATCCCTCTGAGGGTCATAGGGGTGAAGGGGCCTGGCCTGGGGCTGGGAATGGTGAGCGGGTACCCCAGACTAAGAAAACCGCTCTCTCTCGCCTACGGTTATCACGTGGGCACAGTGGCCTGGGCCAGATCTTCACCCCTACTGTCGTCATCAAAAGGCGTCGTCATCAACAACAACAACACATAAAAAAGCACGTGTATAGTGCTGACTATGCCAGGCACGTTATGTTTATTAACTCGTTTAATCCTCACAGTAATTCTGTAACGTGAGTAAGGTGGTAGTATCCTTGTTTTATAGATGTTGTCGTTAGGGGCCGTCGAGTTGGTTCTGACTCATAACAACCCAGTGCACAACAGAACGAAACACTGTGCCGTCCTCATAATTGGTGTTATTCTTGAGCCCATTGTTGCAGCCACTGTGTCAATCCGTGTTGTTGAGAGTTTTCCTCTTTTTCATTGGCCCTTCTACTTTACTAAGCATGATGTCCTTCTCTAGGGACTGGTCCCTCCTGATAACCTGTCCAAAGTACGTGAGGTGAAGTCTTGCCATCCTTGCTTCTGAGGAGCATTCTGGCTGTACTCTTCCAAGACAGATTTGTTCGTTCTTCTGGCAGTCCATGATACATTCAACATTCTTAGCCTACACCACAATTCAAAAGCGTCAATTCTTTGGTCTTCCTTATTCATTGCCTAGCTTCGGATGCATATGAGGCAATTGAAAACAGGGTCAGGTGCGTTTTATCGATAAGGACATCTAATTATATCCATCTGTCTATGTAGATATCCTTATAAAGAAGGGTAAGGAAACTGAGACCCAGAGACATGTTTAGATGAAAAAGCAGGCCCAGAGAACTTTCTAGATGCTGATATTGAGGCCCAGAGGAGTTTCCTGTGTGGGCAAAAGGAATCCCACCTGCAGTAGGTGTGATGCCTGGGTAGGTGACCAGCCAGGTGTCCAGACCGGGGCACTTTTGAGAGGGAGGGAGGGGGCCCTGCTACAGGTCACAGGGACAGCAGGCTTACAAAGGACTGACCTGGACAGATGAGACCCTGACTCTGAAATCAGCCTTTCCTCCTCCTACCCACCACCAGCAGGGGAGGCAGTGTGGGGGGAAGGGCTTCCAAGGCAGGGGGTGGGGGCCTCGGTTAGAGTCCCACACTGCTGCTTCTGGGTGGCTCTGTGGCAAGGCGCCCTCCCCTCTGAGCCTACCATGAGGCCTAAGGGGGTTCCCACGAGGGAGCACGTGGGTACTCTGCACTGGGGCTGTGGCCGTGTCTAAGAAGGGGTGATTCTCACTAATAGGCGTAGTCTCCCATACCTGGGCCGCCACTTCATGGCTGTGTGGCCTGGACCAGTTCCTTACGCTCTCCACATGCTGAGCTCCTCATTGGTAAATACTACCCCGGGGTCATCAGTCACAGCCGACCCTCAGAAGCCCCACAGCCGAGACCTGAGCCAGGGGAAGCACCAGGTCCCTCTTTCAGCCTCACTGAGCCTCGGTGTCATCTTTCCTGGGAAGGCTCCTGGTTAGATGCAGGCACTCCTGCTCAGTGCCCCCTGGCCCTGGGCCATGTCCCCATTCCAGGGCTCACGGTGACACATATGGTTGTCTGAGTGGTCTCCTCACAGATGCGAGCTGCCTGGGGGCAAGGACCATGTCTCATCCACCTCTGCCTTCCCAGGGTCTACCACAGTACCAGGAGCACAGTAGTGACCAGCGGTCGGATGGTCCATCTCAGTACCGGGAGCACAGTAGTGACCAGTGGTCAGACGGTCCGTCTCAGTACCGGGAGCACAGTAGTGACCAGTGGTCAGATGGTCCCTCTCAGTACCAGGAGC